ACATACACACACACACACACATATATATATACATTTATATTATTTATAAATACTGCATATTTATTGCATTTATATATATATATATATATATGTATATATGTATATACAAATATATACATGTATATGCAGAAAAACTACATACTACATATACAAAGACCAATTCTTCACTCTTCTACTCATGTGCTTGGTCATCATACCTGTTTGCGTGCGTAGTTATAGATGGTCACACTCGCTCCAACAAAGTAGATTGGGACCAGGCACGTCACCAGCGATGTGCGCAGTCCATATTTGGCAACCTCTATAAAATTGAAATCGAATACGTGCGGTTCAGTGGAGAGTGTGGTGACAGACATACTCGAATAAAAAACATGTCTTAAACTAGCACGTCACATAATATACTGAGTTGATGGGAGGCCTCATCATCGAGAAAGGAATTAAAGACAGGGACGCGCCCATGGGACAATCTTGTGTGCAGGCTGTCGGCTTAGACGATGGAGAGGCGGCTGAAGGGAGATACCAAACTTTCAAATATTTGGAACAAATGCCGAATTTATACACGCTTCCAGGCCAAATGCGATACAAAAAAAAGATAACACGCAGTACCTTTCCAAGGCTTCTTTGCGCGTATGCTTTCAGCCACACCCCACACCTGTAGATGGGAGTGATAAGACACGAGAACGTTGGGAGATTACGTATTTTATGTGGGTTTGTATAGAAGTTCATGAACACACGTGTAGCAGAATATACAAACCATGACGCCCTTATGATGCCTACAACAGGTTAGTTCCCACGGGCACTAACTGCTGGCCTTACTGGTGACGACTGTTCGCTTCTGGATACTGTCGCCATCATCTATATACTGTACACTATTTTAAAGTTCTAAGTCTACTTTTTAAAATAATTTTGATTCTCATATCCATATACAGCAACTTAGTTTTATGTATGTAATTATTAGCTTACATAAAGTAAGTCTTTGATATACAACATTCCACCATGCTCTATGTATATCATGCGCATTCCAAACTCGCCCTTTACACACAAGTCCATTTGCGGACTCAGCGTCACACGTCACGTGACCTCAATATCACACGTAACGTGGACTCAGTGTCACGCATCGCACGGACTCAGTGTCACACATGTCATGCACCAATTACAATATATATATATATATATATATATATATGTATATATATATGTATGTAAACTCTCATATCTACCAATGAACAGACACAAGTCCACCGCCAAGCATGTGAAAGTAAATCAGTATACTACTTGAACTCGTACGCGAATAGCCGCCACGATCATCACGTTAAGCACAAGAAACACCCATGACCACAGACATAAACATACACGCACACCTGTATACACGTACATTCACACACGCATATACACGTATCTGCCTATACATTTATGCACACATGAAATACACCAATCTATACACACATATACGCACACATGCTAATAATAATCAACACTATGCATACAACATACCAGTCCTCCGGCAGCAGTATGGAAATACATCAACACGCCACTCTCCACCAGAGACGACTTAAACTCATACATAAACGACTGTCGCGCTTTGGCGTCCAGCGCCGCGTACTTGTGCATCTGCGCCCACTCAGCTTCGGTAAGGCCGGCTAATCTGACATCTGCGTACAAATATATATAGATATAAAAATAAAAATAAAATAAAATTGATAAATATATAAATTAAATATTTTACACACACACACACACATGCACACACACACACTATATATATATATATATATATATATATATATATATATATATATATACCATCTACTTACGAATATATACACATATTTGCAGGTGTATTGGTTAAGATTTATCTACACATATCACAAATATGAACTGCGTACATACACCTGCGCCAGGTACTTGTACACGTAGAGTCAGACACAACTATAAAATGACGAGAATCCATGTGAACCATACCCTCTGTCTTCGTTTCAGCATATGCCACACACGTGGCGGAAACGCGCTCCATTGCAGTCTCCTGACTACGCCGCCTGAGGTATGTGTTGTCGTGGTATAGGTCGAGCAGCTTCACGACACCAGCCTGACCCAAGGCAAGCGCTATGTCGTTGATACCCTATGGAGATCATTCAGCAACAGACATATGAGCAAGTGTGAGTAGGTATATACCAACTCAAATGCATCAGGGTATGAGGCGTATGTTATATGAATACGCCGCAGTAGGTACGTGTTGTCGTGGTACCAGACGAGTAGCTCAGCGACACCACCCTCGCCTAAGGCAAGCGCTATATCATCGATGCCCTGTGGGAAATGACTGTCCGGCTACTTATACGTGCGATGGTACTATTGCTTGTATGTATGTGTGTATGTGTACGTGTGTGTACAAGAAAGTAAGTAAGTGAGTATATATGTATATATGTATGTATGTATGTATGTAAGCATGTAAGCAAGCAAGCAAGCAAGCAAGCAAGCAAGCAAGCAAGCAAGCAAGCAAGCAAGCAAGCAAGCAAGCAAGCAAGCAAGCAAGCAAGCAAGCAAGCAAGCAAGCAAGCAAGCAAGCAAGCAAGCAAGCAAGCAAGCAAGCAAGCAAGCAAGTAAGTAAGTAAGTAAGTAAGTAGGTAAGTAAGTAAGTAAGTAAGTATGCATGCATATATGAATGTCTGTATGCAAGTATGTCTGCATGTGTGTAGTATACTTATATGTTTCTATTTATATGTATGATCACTTCTGGCTCCGCTGTCTTGATACATGTTGTCGTGGTACAAGTAGAGCAGCTAACATAACATCAGCTTCGCCAAAAATAAGTGCCTGTTTCGCCATCGATACCTTGGAGAGAACGTTTCTGCATGCACCTACAAGTGTGAGTGTATGATTGCGTGCATGTACTTGAGCTATGTACATCAGTATATATATATATATATATAGATATATATAGATATAGATATAGATATATATATATATCTGTTTATGTGTGTATATGTATATTGTTAAAACATTTCAAGACGTATATTTATATACACAAACACAAACAAATACGTGTGCATGCACACAGATATCCATACACGCTTACCCAACAACCCACCCACACACCTCATCATTCGGCTGAGAGTGTATCGCAAAGTTGCACAAGGCAGTGGCCAGTTGCTTCTTGACATATAAACTGGGGTCCTTCTCAGTCAGTGCTTCAATGATCTTTAGGTGAAACCCGCGCTCCAGTACCACAGTCTGATGCATTTCTGGTAATCGACAAGCAACCTCTAAGATGTGGGCGGCATAGTTCCGTATCTCCACGTTGACACCGGGGTGTGTGCTGAAGAAGCAGCGTATTTAGGGGGTGGATAGGTAAGCATGGGTATACTTTGAGGTAGTTAACACTCGCACTCGCGCACACAGACACAAACACATACACAGACACACGCACAGACACAGAGACACACAGACACACAACGACAAAGACACAGACACAGACACAAACACAGACACAGACACAGACACAGACACAGACACAGACACACAGACACACAGACATTTATATAAATATGTGTATGTCTTGTAAAACATTTCATATCTACAACCAAGTCTCACCAGTAAGTCAGCAGCGTGTCTGCGTAGAATTCATCCTGCAATAGCAAACGCTTGACGTCGTCGCTATACTCGGTACAAGACATGATTATCTTGAGCTCTCTCTCGAGTAGATCTAAACTCTTCGACAAAAGTTTATTGCGCAACCGCTCTGGGCGGGCTAGGAGCAGGGCGGTCTGATCGGGATCTGTGGCAAAATGCGAAGGGAGATATCAGGAAGTGTCATGTAAACCAATATAACGAATGTATACACCAAAGCTCCGTACAGGTATTCGTGATATCGTCGCTGTATTCGATGCAAGTCATGCTTAAGCTTGTGTTTATCTCGAGCATCCTCGAGTGATTCTAAACTTCGAGAACGGCCTACTACGGAGACAGTCAGGGTGGGATGGAAGCAGAGCTATCTGAATAAAAGTATAGCAGTTCCATGACAAAACAGGAAAGACTGACAACCAGTGCACCCCAATTTGATACGTAGACTCTATATTGATATATATGTGTATATGGGTAGATTCATATATAGATTGATGATTCCAATGCGTCCACTGCATAAGCCCACCACTTATATCCAAATACATGCATATGGCATACACCACCCAGGACACCAACAGTCCCCCTATTGCCCTTTTTGCTTAAGTACACAGACCCGACTCTCGCCCCCAGAATATGCGGTGCAAATACATACAGATAGAGCTACACACCGGGCAAAGCTGCACCTCAATACCTAAACAACTGGTTCTACGTACCTGTATCCATGGACATGGACATAGCCCCGGCCGTCAGACTCATGATAACCCAGCCTATGAGCACCACAGTCACTGAGGGTCCCTCGATTTGTCCCACTTTTTTGATACTTTTAAAGCCCTCGCGCGTGGCTTTGAGCTTGATATGGCGTGGTATGGTTGCTGAGAGGAGAGGTGATGGGGATTGTACTGGGAATGTGAGTGTGGGTGCAATTTGTAGTCTTGGATTGATTCTTCCCGTGGATAGCGTGGCAGATCCATGGGGGGGTGCACCTCAGAACAAGTACGCTTGGGTGGCTCATACCGAACTGTTCAATGGAGTTCACACTTTATGTCAAGGATGTAAAGGATGCTATAGACACTCAAGAGTATACCAAAAGTCTTTTAAAAGGCGCTATTGGAGTGTCGCATTGATTGAGCGTCAGGTCTTGAACACTGGGTACAGATTATTCCGATCATCGTGTACATCACAGACGATGCGGGCGTTTCAGCTTAAAACACTGAGATTTGAACAGACAGACTAAACACTATTTAAACCGAACTCGCAGCGCTCTCCAAGACCATGTGCCTACGGCCAAATGGTGTCAAAGTGTTCCGCTACTGAAGATAAGAGCAAAAGGCTGGTGAAAACATCAAGCAGCGAGACTCAACTGTGTTTGTGAGTTAATATAAATATGGCACAGGATCGAAGACAACCAATTATAAACACATTAATAAGGGCAATCATATTCTTGGATCGATCTATAATTGCAATCACATGTGAGAATGAGACGGTGGCATACACGAGTATCTATATATGCAAAGACAAATCAGTTTTGAAACAAATATAAAACATATACACCTACATGAGTATATATATATATATATATATATATATATATATATATATATATATATATATANACAACAACTAACTTCATACTACTACATACGTACGTACGTACATCAAATACAACGTACATACAAACACAAACACACACACACGCACACACGCACACCCACCCACAAACACACACACATATATATATATAGATAAAGATATACGAGTACAGACACACACACATATACACAGACACAGACACAGACACAGACACACAGACACAGACACAGACACAGACAGACACAGACACAGACACACACACACATTATATATATATATATATATATATATATATATATATATATATATATATGTATATAGATATATAGATATATATAGTTGCATACTCATTCATACACACGCATACACACACATACACACATACACATACACATTCAGACACACACACACACACACACACACACACACACACACACATATATATATATATATCTTCAAACTAACCAAGAGCATTCGAGTAGGGAAAGTGTATGCAAAATCATTTTATGCAGAAATATATACCCACGCTCTATAAGTGCAAAAGTATATACATATAATGCAGCAATATTAACCCGCGTATGATAAGTATGGTAAACGCAATATGCACGCATTTCATCAACGGCTATGAACAGAATATGAAATACAGTCGCACATTGCTGATACCTAGTACTGATACTCACCTGGACCAGCTCTGGGCGCATTTAAGGGAGTGCCTACTACAGTCGGTCGCTTAGCAGCATATTGACGAACACCTACTTTACCGTACGCAAATCGACTATAGTTGTTAATAAGCGAAGTATAGCTGAATGGCGTCTGTGTACTTTGGATTCTGACGTTGTTACTAGGTAGCAAGCCCCGACCGCATACCATGCGCAGCATTGTGAAGAAGATTTGTATGTGTTAGAAGCCTTTACCTCAATGCCTACTGCATGTCACCGCGATATAAATAGACTACACCAACCCTTTGGGTACTCTCCAAATGCAATGATGATATTCTGTATCCGTGTGAGGACATCACTTCATACATAAATATGATATTTATGTACATAGCACATAAATTTGTAAGAGGCGAAGTTAAAGAGTTTTGACACCTTCTCTAGAGACGTCACTTTTTTTTTGTGCGTAATATTGGGGATAAAAAAAGTGAAGTATTGTACCGTGTACGTAGTATGTATTTTTTTACAAAAAAAATTAGGGTCGGATAGCCTCGCGCGCTCTCTCTCACTATGTCCGAGTATTTAGTACCGTAGGCCGCAGAGTGTATTTACAAATACTCTCTCCAATAAGCCGACTAAGGGAACCGGCTCATTAGTCTTGTATTCATAGTAAGACACTAAGACTGCCGTAGACAGTATACCGACACGTTCATATGTACTGCCTAAATACGTTTGTCCTAAGGCTCAGGGGAGGGACTGTCTAGTTACATCTGTCCCTGGACCGGTTGTCCTAACTACTACCGTCCGCTACTACATATAAATGTTTGGTTGTTGTATTTTGTAATAACCTACAATAGCAATGCGCGTCAGGGCAGGATCGATATATTTGATAGCCATCATGAAGTATTCATGACTGGATTTCGACTCATAATAGACCAAGAAAGCTTCTTTATCTTACAGATGTATCGAAAGTATTTTGGCAGCAAATCGCTGACCATGACTATATTCGTGCAAAGCCCGTGGCTCAATTTTATTTTGTTTACACATAACAGTTGTAGGCGACAAGTCGCGTAAATCGGGTTAAACAGCCATGCATTATAAGTGGTGTTGCTTTAGCGGCAACACCATCTGCTTGATGGGGCTTATCAGCCGTACCGTACACTAAGCCGGAGACTGATGAGTCCTCAGTTGACTCCATGAGTCTCGTTAGACGCGACACACTCTATCGCACCATATACCCCCCATGTTAAATTAAACCCTGGTCCTTCTTGTTTCGAGTTTTCAACAAGTAGGAAATACTACCAGCTCTTCATGACCCAGGAGATGCATTATCCTCAGGCGATATTACACAATTAGATTGTGTATGCACAGACCACCGGCCCTCGGGTTGAGAGGGCGGAGGGAACATCAGCAGAGAATATACTATCGCACTTAATTACTGTCATTGTGTTGAACTGTAAGAAGTGAGGTTTGAAATATAGCCTAAGACCCAGTGAAGGTCAATCATTGTTATAAATATTTGGCTCGCTCTCAACTTGGAATCCGTTTGCGATAGGACGAGCATGAAACGTAGAACAAGCAATGGAATACTTACGTACAGTATATTTAATATATTTCGAGAAGTGAATAATGTCCCCATCGAGGGTCACATCCCGATTAGATAGCAGTATAGATCCGAGGGACTTTATCTCCCGAGGGGTAGGGGTTCGGCCACCGGGTCTCTATAGTAGGCAACACATATACTCCGTCCTAGCCCTATATACCTTGTGCAACAAACCATCTATTTGGGAGTTCGATGGGTATTTCACCTAAATACTACTTAGTCATGGCTGTTCACTGTTCTCATAGCGTGTTCCATTTTGGGGTCGGAGTTGACTACAGCTGCTACAGCTGTGACATTTTGTATATGGATGTTTAGAAGAAGGCTATGGAAACTTTGTGTTCAAGGCTATCTGAGCTCCCCTGGATCTCAGGATCTGAATACAGGACAGGGGTTGTCTCTTGGTCAACAACAACAAGAGAATACAAAAAAAGTCGAGTATGAACAGTACACAACGATACATCGATATTATTTTAGTGTGGTACAAATATAAGGGCAAATCACGCCCTATATTCACATATAGGGGTCTATAAATAAGTAGGGCAGGTTTTGTCCCCATGTCAGCCTGTGTCATTCTCATTTCCTGCTGTGGCCTGCGCAATGCACTCACCTAAATAAATATAAAACCATGGCGTGTATACACACTAGCTTCCTGCGCAAGCATCCACTTATACGTAGGAGTTACAACCTAGCTTTACAGCGGTAGACCCACTGCAGATGCAATATGTATATGCTCTCTATTTTATAGTACTAGCTATGTGTAGCTCGCAATTCGCCTTTCAAGCTTTCTAGCACTGGAATACCTATCGTATTCAGAACTTAATCCTATATAGTGTTGTAGTCCGTTAATTGCCAATTGCCTGCGCAGAGCCCCAGTTATTGGCAGTCACTGGAGGTGCTCCGAGACCACCAGTACCATAACTTCACAGACATAGTGGGTTAAAGACTCCCACAATAGTGCTGACAGGCGATTATGCACTGAGGTATAATAAGCTCTAGCAGTATACACGAGCCCATAACAAACGTATAGTTAACGTTATATCTCATTTACCAGAAACACCATGTACGCGACAGTGGACGAGTTCAATGACATACTCAGTCATGAAGTCTACGTAGACGTAAACAGTATGCGGGATCTTGCAGTGCATGGCGTACCCCATGAGATCCGTGGTGAAGTCTGGAAGTATCTGCTGAATGTTGCTGCTGCTGATATGGGTATGTTGAGTACATGACGGATACCTATTATATGTGGTGTTAAATTTGTATTGCGAATGTGGTAAAGTTGGAAGCGCATCTGCGTAGATATGCAGCTGCAAGTATGCAGATTAGGAATATAACAACTCGTTGTTCTACTGAGTGTAACCAGTGGAGGAATTAACATGGTTCGCTAAATCCAGCTAAATTTGTGTACACACACACACACATACACACACACACACACACACACACACACACACACACACACACAAACACACACACACACACACACTACTATATATATATATATATATATAGTATATATATATATATATATATATATATATATATATAT